TATTATTATTATTATTATTATTATTATTATTGTTATTATCTTCATTTCTTTGTTTTTGTTTCTTCTATGCTCCATGCTTTTATTATTTTTGCTCTTTCTTACTTGTAATGATGTATGATTGTCTTTTCTTCTGCATTTCGTATTTATCATTTCTTTTTTTTTTTTTTCTTTTTTTTTGCTGTTTTTGGTGAGTACTACTACTACTACTGCTGCTGCTGTCTGTTGTGTAGACGGCATTGTGGATCCTTACTTTGCTGGCAAAGAAAAAAAAAAAGAAAAGAAAAGAAAAAAGAAAAAAAAGAATCAAACAAAAAAGGTGTGTGTAGATACGCCTTTGAAAACGGGCAGTGCGATGGTGTTGGGGATTGAAATAATAAGAATGTAAAAAAAACGCGTGAAGAGATGAGAAGTTGTTCCTTTTTTTTTTTTTTCTTGATTTCTCATCATGTGGAAAGACTGACGGGGAATAAGAGAAAAGAAGAGAAAAGAGAAGAGAGGGAATATATACTCCGCACATATCTGCACAGAATCTACTGGTGGCGGGGCGGGAGGGGAAAAAAAAGGAAAAGAAAAAAGACTTTTTTTTTTTGTTGTTGTTTTTTTTTTATTATTTTTAAAATATCTTTCCTTCTTCTTTACATATACATACACACATATATCTATATATACTTATATATATTTATATTTATATATATATATATATATATATTTATATATAAATACATATATTTATATTTATAGTCTATGTATATATATATATATGTATATATGTGTGTGGATAAATTATTTCCTCTTTTTCCTCCTGGTCTCTCTCTCTCTCTCTCTTTTACCCACAAGAACACGGAGGAGTTGAGGGGGTGAAGTCCACACGTGTGTGAGGGTTTGGGATGAGAGAGAGAGAGGGACTGAGGGCGAACCTCAATAATAACAAAACAGAGAGAAAGAAAGAGAAAGAGAGAAGGGAAATGAAAATATACGAGCTTTTTTTTTTTTTTTTCTTCTTCTTTTTAAAAAGAAAAAAGTTGTTTGGTTGTGTAGATAATACTAATTCCTCTGGGAAGGAAGAGATATTAATATTAATTAATAATAATAATATTAATAATTAATAACAGTATTACTTAAAGCGTAAGTGAACGGTCATACCGAGAGAAAAGAGAACAGTATTATGTACTTTACTGTTTTTTTCTTTTTTTTTTTCTGTTTTTTATTTACCTTCTTTAAATATTCACCTTTCTTTCTTTTTCTTTCTTTTCTTTCTTTTTCCTTTTTCCTTTTTTTTTTTATTTTGAGCTAATTTAGCAGTTTATTGGTGTTCACCGTATTTTATTTGTCTCTCTTGTTCTCCTATGTATTGCTTCTTTTTTCACTTGTTTGTACCTTTTTTTTTTTTCTCTCTCTTTTTCATTCATTCATTCATTTTTTTTTTTTT